CAGCAATTGTTGCTGCCCTTGCTGTCATCGCAGATGGCAATGTTGCTATCTGCGTGTAGGCAGGTCGCTTGTAGCGGCAACCGTAAGGTCGACCGCGTGTAGGCAGGCCCTCTATAGCGGTACCCGCAAGCAGGGCCGCAAGCACGACGGCCACCTGCGTACGGGCACTACGCCCGCACGCAAGAGCGGCGCCTACGGATGTTGGACCCACGGGCAGAGGTGCCACTCGGCAGCGATGCTTACGGGTGCTGCACCCGCGAGCACAGTCACCTACGGGTGCTGCGTGGGGCAGCGCCACCCGCAGGGGCGCCCGTAGGTGGGGGCGCTACCCGCGGGGGCATTGCCACCCACAGGGGCGACCGCCCGTGGGGGCGCTCACCTGCAGGGTCAGCACCACCCGTGGGCAGGGTGGCGCCCCCATGCCCCCCCGCCGTACAGGGCCACCGCCGGTAGGGTGACGACGGTCGTAGCCAGTAGGGCATGGGGAGTTTTAGGGTTTTGGGCAAAAAGATAGTTTTGCCCCTATGATTTGAGAAATTTAAGTTATATCCTTTTATCCTAATTATGAAAATACCCCTCAGAAGTAAGAAAATTTTCTACATCTCCTTGATTTCAAAAAATATTAATTAATTAAAATATTTAATTGATTATTATTATTATCTAGTAGTCCTGAATAATAATGATTTATACATGTGATGTATGATATATGGATGGATGATCATGGACCATGTGATGTGTATACTTGTGATTATTATTATTGGAGCTTGCGAGCCTCCATTTTATTTCTCATTTATTTTTGGGCCTGCGTGCCTATGATTAAGTTATAATCACACGAGGAGGCGTAGCGGGAGCGTGGAAGTGATAACAGGACCCACTAGAAGGACGATCGTGATGCATGGAGATGCGTCGAGATGCCGATGGAACCGACGAGGACGAGATGGATGATCACAAGGCATAAAGATGCACCGCTACGCACATAGATCTTGATGTGAGTGATTAGGCCCACTGGCTCGGGCCTGATCACATTAGGTTGTGGTCCATGATCATATGATATGATTGCTTATACACCTACTAGATATGTATATATATTTACATACGATGTTGATATATATTAAATATGTATATATGTGACATGCCATATTAGGAAACCAAATCATAGACGCCCCTCTCTCGATAATATTAAGTTGGTAAACGCGAGGCAATTAGATTAGCCCATGTGACCTTCCATCGTTATAGGTAGGGACCGATTACCGGTATAGGTTGAGTTGGTCGAGTCCCTCGAGGCTCACTTATATCGCGATTCGCTATCTTGCCTACGATATAGAGATGTCCCTAGTAACTTGAGAACATGGTATGCTTGGTCGAGTCCCTCGAGGGTATATCATCAAATCAAACTCATCATGTAACGATGGTTTGACTTAACCGAACATCATGGTTGGTCGAGTCCCTCGAGACCATGGTGATTTGGAGGCCGAACAAGATGGGAATCATAAGGAGTTGTGATCGGCAAGAGTTGCCTACCTTTTGAGCTTAGTGTGATTGGTCAAGTCCCTCGAGGTTACACTAAGATGTTGATTGGATCTTGATCCCCACTAGAAGTCTGCCAGAGACTTTCGTTTCACGTGTTGAGGGTGTCGCGTGACTTGCCAGTAAATTAGTGGGAGCATATTAAGATAGAAGTCTATATCTTGATTGTTTATTTTTGTAAAATCTGCATGTTATTTATTTTTGCTGCATCTTTATTTTCAGAAAATATCGCTTTCAAATCCCTTACGTGGCATACTTGATGTCGACTACCTCATTGGTCCAAATTATACGGATTGGCTCTGCAAGTTGAGAATTGTTCTCACAGCGGAAAAAATCATGTACGTCCTTGATATAGTGATGCCTACGCCCGAGGAAGGGGCAAGCGAGGATGAGATCACTTACTACGTGAAGTACATTGATGACTCCACTCTTGCCCAGTATTACATGTTGGGCTCTATGACTCTTGAGTTATAGAGACAACATGAAAAAATGGATGCCAGATCCATTCTCCTACATGTCTGCAAACTGTTTGAGGAACAGGGAAGGACTCAGCGATATAAGATATCCAAGAGCCTCTTCTACGCTAGAATGACTAAGGGGATACCAGTTAAGAACCATGTCCTAAAGATGATTAAGTGGATAGAGAGACTCACAGGTCTAGGAATGGTCCTAGAGGATAACTTGTGTGTGGACATTGTGCTTCAATCCCTACCAGATTCCTTTTCATAGTTCATAATGAATTTTAATATGAACAAGCTTGAGGTGACTCTCCCAAAGCTCCTCAATATGTTGAGGGAGGTAGAGAGCACTATAAAAAAGGAGAAGCCAGTTCTCTACATTGGTGAGACTAGAAAGAAAAGGAAAGTAGAAAAGTCCCTTAAGAATGGCAAGGGCAAGGGCAGACCAAGTAAAGCAAAGGTTGCTAAGAAAGACCTGGCAAAGGACAAAGGCCATTACTTCCACTATGGCAAATATGGGCATTGGAAGAGGAACTACAAAGAGTACCTTGCAGAGAGGGCGAAACAGAAGCTTGGAGAAGCTTCAAGTACATTCATGATCAGTATCCAATTGTCATATTTTTGTGATAGTGCATTGGTATTAGATACCAGTATTGCTGATCACATTTGCAATTTGTTGTATATTCTAGCAAAGCCGAGAAGATTGTCGAGAGAAATATTACATAATGGTTTGTTTATGCTAGACACTACTCCATATATCATGAATGTAAGTGTGTCTAAGAGGAAATGAGATGAGGTGAATAGTGCATACTTGTGGCATTGTAGGCTAGGTCACATCAATGAGGGAAGGATTCAAAAGTTGTTAAAGGATGGATACCTAGATCCATTCAATTATGAGTCATATGCAACCTGCAAGCCTTACTTTCGTGGAAAACTGACCAACTCTCCATTTAGTGGAACTGGAGAAAGAGTCACTGAATTACTGGAACTCATACATAATGATGTATGTGGACCCATGTCAACTCATGCCATTGGTGGTTACTCCTACTTTATTACTTTTACTGATGATTTTTCAAGGTATGGATATGTGTACTTAATGAAGTATAAGTCCGAGGCCTTTGAGAAATTCAGAGAGTATACGAATGAAGTGAAGAACCAGACTAGAAAGAGTATCAAGACTCTTTGATCAGATCGAGGAGGTGAGTACTTAAGTATAGAGTTTACCCAGCTCCTCAAGGACCATGAGATTTTATCCCAATGGATACCTCCTTATACACCTCAGCTCAATGGTGTGACAGAAAGGAGGAATCGTACGTGTTAGGATCAGGGGTCGGCACTAAGAGGGGGGGTGAATCAGTGTAGCGGTAAAATCACGTCTTCAAAAATGTTTCGTTTCGATAAAACCGATTTTGTAAAGTTAGATTGAAAGTGTACGGAAAAGAATTGAAGGCAGTAAGTACTTAAAGAGGTTTGCAGTAAGGTAATAGCAAGAATAAAATGCAAACCAGAGAACTCGGTAGTTTTAGAGTGGTTCGATCAATGTGACCTACATCCACTTTTAGCTTCCTCCTCCGACTTGGAGCCTAAAACTTTTCCATCCTAGGTTCCTCGGGAACGGGCGGTACCACCGCTTAGATCTGGCGGTACCACCGCCTAGGGGGCAGTGCTGGGCGGTACCACCACCCAGACTGACGGTACCACTGCCTGGCACCCTTCCAGGGGTGGTACAACCGCCTAGACTAGTGGTACCACCGCCTGACATAGTCTCGAAGACTGTGCCATGATTGTGAGATTTCTTGGGGCATTGTTTGAGCCTTTTATTGGGCCCAACACAGTTCTTACATGGGCCTAGTTGGCCCTAATTGGGTTGGCCCAAATCCAAGCCCAATTACGTGCTAACTATGAAATCCTAAGACATTTGCTAATCTAAACAATTCCCTATGTCTATTCTTCCGACGAGCTTCCGGCGAACTTCCGACAATCTCTAGGCAATGTTCCGGCGGACTCCCGGTAAGCTCCTGGACTTCACGACGATCTTCTTGACGAGTTCCGACGAGCTTCTCTGGCAAGCTCTGAGACTTCTCGGCTGGTTCCGCCAGAACTTCCAACGAACGTCCGGACTTCTGACGAACTCTCGAACTCTCAACGAAGTCGCGTCCTTAACTCCGGGACTTCATTTTGCTTCATGCTTTGCTATCGTAGTTAATCCTGCACATGTAAAACACACTTCGATCTAGACAATTAATACTAAGCATTAATCAAGTTGTCCGGCATGTCATTGGTCCATCGACGCTTCGTTCGATTCTTCGGCGCATCGTCCTTTTTTACGGCCTATTGCCCAATCGATCAGTTGACTCCGCCACTCCGATATCCTTGGCGCAATATCCGCTCTTCTTAGCCAGATGCCCGAATCCACGGCCCGAAGCCTTCTGTCGATACGTCTACCCTGTTTATTCAGAACCGTTAGGATTTTGCCCACCATTAGGATGATTGCCATTTTCTAAACTATAAGACCCAAATTTAGTCATGATGTAAGATGCTTATTTTAACCAATGAGGACATGAATGTGATGAATCAGCCTAAGGGAGATGAGGCACATTGGATCCAACAGTAGCTCATGTGCCGCTCTTGTAATTTCGATTTCTCTATTGAAACTGTTGCATCTTTTTCGAGTGTTAATTGCGTTGCAAGGTTGGGTTTCATTCTCAAAGATAAGCAGGAAATCTAGTCGCAGCGGGGTGTAAATCAATTACAGCTTGCTCTGTTTTTGTAAGCTGAGTTCGAGGCTATTTTAGAAGCTCTCAATTTTGCTACCAAAGGGCCTACAAGAATGTGTGGGTTGACTTAAACGACAGCGTTGAATATGTGCCTTGTCAAATGTGGGTTTCTTAGCTATATTCTTGCGATTGTTTTTGTAGCTTTTGACAAGGTGGGCCTTGTCAAATGTGATTTCTTAGAAATACTGCAGCGGGCTACACAATTACAGCAAATAGGATTGAAATGAACATCGCAGACTCCAGTATCTAAGATCATAATTATGATCACGATTTAATCCCATGCCTCATAATCCATATAGATCTATGAGAGCAGTCCAAACAAACAAATCTAATCCATGAAATTATCATCGCACAGAATCATAATCATGACTCAGTAAAAGCTGAGGATAGAGAGTGTTTCTGCTGGAAGATAAATCCATGTACACAGTCGGATTTATTTATAAACAGTTTTTCTACTCGGCTGGCAGAACACAGAGACGTAACACCTAGCAGCAGTTCAGTGATAACCTAGCGGTGCAGGTATATCCTTGAGTTCCATCCCCCGGTAATGGATGTCCTGCGATCGCCAACCAGAAGCATCTCAGTAACATAACCACATATCTATACGCTTCGGAGAGTGGAAGGCAGGACAGAAACATACCGAAGCGAAGTGATTGACGTCACGATGGTGCGCCTCATCAGCACGGACAACCATGACGACGTCCTTCAGCGTGGCATCGGCGGGGAGGCGCCAGTAGTCAATGGCGATGGCGGGGGCGGGGACGTTGTCGATCTCACCCGCCTCCAGGTCCCTGAGGAACTCGGTATAGGAATGGATGGCCTCCTCCTCCAGGTATCCCGTCACGCGGTGGGCGAACTTGGGCGAGACGAGGTAACCGAGGAAGTATGCATTGAAGAAGACGCCCTGCACGGCGATCACGAGGGCGCGCTCGTACCACCGAGGCTGTGCCACCTCCATGAACGTCATCAGGTGCATCCGCTCGTTCTCCGCCTCCTCCAGCAGCGCGCGGATCCACCCGCCGCTTTGTTCGAAACGGCGGAGGGAGCGGAGGTGGAGGAACATGCCACCCACCATCCCCGGCACGGCCGCCACCGTCTCCAACATCATCGCGCGGCACCCATACCTCCTCTGTTTTGGGCATGCAGTAAGTTAACCGCAAACTCCTACAAACCTTTTAAAGACTACCAAACCAACGCTGTGATTTGACACCCGAATTAAAGGGAATCTCACCGAATAATAAATTGATTGCTTACTGTAAATACAAGGGAAATCGTATCTTCCTATTTCTTGGGGAAGACGAAAACTCTATCGGAGAAAAAGCGGCGTCACGTACCTGGAAGAAGATGTCGGTCGGGACTCGGAGAGCTTTTACCATCCAGTAAGCGAGCTTGTCAAGGAGCGTCGCGGGGACGTGGTGCTTCTTGAGATCAATCGAGGTATCCGCCTTGTACGTCTCCCACGGCTGCGGGATGTAACATATATTCTCGTTCAGATTACTAGCAATAGCATTAAAGATCATATAGGAAACAGCAACGAGGAGAACGAAAGAACATGGTTGGATGAAAAAGGATCGCTTACCATGAAGCAAGACCACCTCCAGGGGGTGCCGTCCTCCTTGATGATCTTGGATGGCTGGATGCCCCAATAGCTCGCAACGGCCTTGCGCTCGCTCGGCGGGACGGCAGTCGCCTCCCTCGAAGCGGCAGGAGGCTTTGCCTCCCCTTCCTGCTCTCCACCGAAAGCCTGAGCCGCCGTGGTGCTGGTCATACGTACGGGGAAAAGGCGCACTAGCACGGCTGCGGGCGACCGGGCGGGTGCCAAGGAGGCGGATCCGGAGAGGAGCAAAGAGCATGCCGGCTCTCCAGCGGTGGGGGCGCGGGCTGCGGCAGCGGAGAAGAAGAGGCGAGGACCGAGGTGCCGGAGCAGCGTTGACCCTGCTATGCGGGAACTCATCCTATGAAGACCCAACGAGAAAACAAAGTTGCAAGGCAAAAAAAGAGAGATGATTCCCATGTTGGGGCCTGCCTGGTCTTATATGGCTGCGACACGGTAGACGTGGAGTGGGTCATCGCCGGAAGTTCACGTTCTTCGAATCTGCTGGCTCACAACGGCTCTCGTAGTCGTTGTATTATCGTGGAGTAAGGGGTTTGGTCGCGTATGGCGGTGGTGGGAAGCTTCAAGGAGCCGAGAACGTTCGTTCACGTTCTCCGCAGTCTCCTGGTGCTCCTGATTCGTGTGAACACCACTGGTGTGATGATGATGGTGATGTCATTGTCCGAGCCATCAGACCGTTCGAGTGGTGGGGTTAGTCCTCCATCCATATACTGCGAAATACGATACGTACACGGGGCAGTTCGGTAATTTGAAGGGGTGTAGTTTCTTAGGCCGAAGGGGTGTAGTTTCTTAGGCCCGCTGTAGACCATCGAGCGGATGACCAACGCTTCAAAAACTTAAAGTATTTGACTATTTATATTACCTATGGTTATGCCCGTATGTTTCATATAAAATAATATCAAAATTTAAACATTATAATTTTACAATCCTCAAACTTAAAAAGTTTTTATATCATGCTATATCATTTTTGTGAAGTTTACTTTTTCTTTCCAAAATCATAGGTCTCTAACCATACGAGCTACTCCAATAATCATATATTACTGGAGTACACCTTAGACTCCAACAAACAAATCAATTATAACACCATCCAATCCTTCCCATTAGGACTTAGACTCTACAACACCATCCAATCCTTCCCATTAGGACTTATCAAGACATGAGATAAACTTATTAAGTTTCATTAACTTGAACTATATTTATACAGGTTAGAGGAAAAGATTTCCTCTATCAAAATCAAATCAGTTAGTTAAGAGAGATTTCCTCAATCAAATTTTATCTTCATCACTTATCTTCTAATCCACCTCAAACTTCCACTAATAACAGGTTTACAATAAATTTCTCTAGAATAACCAGAGGATCATAATAACATCAAGAACATATATCTTGGCTCAAGAATAACATATCATCATCACAGATAGTGGGTATAGCAGGAAAGTACCTCGGAGAGGATGAACTAAAAATTTGGGTCAAAACTAACAACGTTTGGCCACTGATCATCAAGCAGAAAGCTCAAAGTCTTATTATTTCTCTCTCCGTTCTTTTTTCTCTCGCTGCATGCTTCGCTGCCCTCTTCTTTTACCTTTTAATTAATGATTTGGGCTCAAAAGGTCCAATTATCTAAGCCCATATATGGGCTAGACTCAATAATTCTCCCCCTCCAACTCATATGGTGGGCTGCACTAAGCCCGTTCTTTGCTTATATGCTTTAAGCTTCACCTTAGGCAAAGACTTTGTCAATATATCTGATTCATTCTAATTGGTATGCATATTTTCCAATTATAATTCTTTCAACTCAAGCACATCATGAATCTAGTGATATTTCACATCAATATGTTTGGATCTAGAATGGTATGTTGAAATCTTGGAGAGGTGAATGACACTCTGACTGTCACAGTAAATAGTATATCCTTTTTGTTTCAAGCTCAATTCATGTAGAAACTTTTTCATCCATAAAGCTTCCTTGTAAGTTTTAGTAATTGCTATGTATTTTGTTTCTGTGGTTGATAGAGCAACACAATTCTATAACTTAGATTGCCAAGAGATTGCTCTCCCTGCAAATGTCATCAAGAACCTCGAAACATAGTTCCTAGAATCAGTATCACCTGCCATGGTGACATCTGTGTACCCTTCCAACACAGGTTCATCATTGCCAAAATATAAACACAACCTAGAGTAAGGTACTCTAGATATTTCTCCTTTTTCTCTCTCACTTGTAGGACATTGTTTCGATCTAAGCTTGAAATGACCTGCAAGTGGAGAACAAACTATTTTGGCTTTACTCATGTTGAATCTTTCAAGAACCTTTTCAATGTAGGTCTCATGTATTTCTTCCTATCACAGAAAATCTTTATGCCAAGTATTTGTTTCACCGATCTCAAGTCTTTCATGGCAAAAGTCTTACTTAGCTTTCTTTTAAGCTTTTCAATTTTTTCAGCATTATGACTAACAATCAGCATATCATTAACATATATAATAGAATAATAAAATCATCATCTAAAAATTTCTTTATAAATACACAATGATCAGATGTGGTTCTATTATACCCTTGGCTCATCATAAAGGAATCAAACTTCTTGTACCACTGTATAGGTGCTTGTTTGAGTCCATATAAGCTTTTCCTAAGCTTACACACCAGATTTTCTTTTCCCTTGACTTTGAAACCTTCTAGTTGCTCCATATAAATTTCTTCCTCTAAGTCACTAAGAAGAAATGTTGTTTTCACATCAAGTTGCTCAACTTCTAAATTCAAACGGGCAGCCAAACCAAGAACAACTCGGATAGAGGATATTTTCACCACAGGAGAAAATATTTCTTCAAAGTCAATATCTTTCTTCTGATTGAACCCTTTCATAACTAGTTGTGCCTTGTATCTTTGTTGTGAGCTATTATTTTTAGTCTTTAATTTGTAAACCCATTTATTCTTAAGAGCTTTCTTCTCTTTAGATAACTTTACTAAGTCATAGGTGTGGTTCTCAAGTAAGGATTGTTAGGATCAAGAGCACTAAGAGGGGGGGGGGGGTGAATTAGTGCAGCGGAAAACCTTCAACGATTAAAACTGCGTTCATACGATAAAATCGTTTCCGACGTAAAACCATTTTCGGAAACTTAACTTGAAAGCGAGTTCGTAAAGGAGTGCAGCAAAAGTAATGAGGAAGTAAAGCATATGTGGAGGCAGTTTGCAGTTAAGATAAATAGCGAGAAGAAAATACAAACCAGATTTTAGAGTGGTTCGGTCAAACGTGACCTACATCCACTTTTGGCTTCCTCCTCCGATGAGGTTACCGATGTCCACTAGAGGCCTTCCTTCAATAGCCGAAGGCCAATCACTCTTTTACAATTTCACTCCTTTTGATGGGCTTAGGAGACAACCCTTACAGAAATTTCTCTCCTCTCTTGAAAGATCAAAACTTGGAAGAAAAGAGAGAGGAGAACTTCTAGCCTTTACAACACTTTTGAGCTCTAAAAATCATAGAGTAAAATTGGATTTTCGGTGCCTTTTGGTTGCCCTTTCATGCAGGAAAGGGTGGGGTTTATATAGGCCCCAAACTGGTTTGAATTTAGAGCTCAAAAATGTCTTTTCTCAGATTTTCCAGGTCCTAGCGGTACTACCTCCTGACTAGGGCGGTACAACCGCTTGGCAGCTCGGAGACTGAGCCCATGCGGTGCCACCGCCTGACCTGGGGTGGTTGCACCACCTAGCTTTCTTGGGAGACCATCTCCTGGGCGATGCCACCGCCTGACAGAAATTCTGTTCCAAATGAGTTGATCCATTCGGCCCAATTTGGGTCTGTCAAGGACCCAATTGCCCCCAGATTAAGTTAATGGGATCACCTCCCATTCCTAACTTAATCTACATGCCAACTACGATATTTCTTAAGACATTTACTACAACTTGCTCCGGTGTGTCAATCGTTTCTTCCGGCGAGCTTCCGGCGAACATCCGACGAACCTTCGGCGATGCTCCGACGGATTCCAGCAAACTCCTAGACTTGCGATGATCCACTTGGTGAGTTCCGACGAGCTTCTTTGGCAAGCTCCTGGACTTCTCAGATTTGTTCCAGAACCACCGATGATCATCCGGACTTCCGTCGAACTCTCAAACTCCCAACGTGATCATAGTCTTGACTCCGGTGCAACTCCTATTGCATGTCTTTCTTCCATCATAGTTAATCCTGCACATGTAAAACAAAATTTCGATCGAGACAATTAATCCTAAGCAATTAACCAAGTTGTCCGGCATGTCATTGGTCCCTCGACACTTCGTCTGATTCTTCGGCACATCGTGCTCTCTTGCGGCCTATTGCCCAATCGGCCAGTTGACTCCGCAACTCCGATATCCTTGGCACAATACCCACTCTTCTTGGCCCGATGCCCGAGTCCATGGCCCGAAGCCTTCTGTCGATACGTCGATCGATCCACCGGCCCGACGTCCAATCTTCTGACATGTTCCTCCGACACAACATGATTTTTCTTGCTTTAATTATCTTATCCTGATTGAAACATCCTGTGTCACTCAAAATGCAGATTAAAATATAAACATATATCAAGTGGTTTTATCATCAAAATACGAGATTCAACAAGGATCTCATCTCTTCTTGCATGGTTTTAACCCACTCATTTTTATTCTCATGTAGAATAGCTTCTTGGTAAGTTTCTGGCTCTCCCCTGTCAATAAGCATAACAGACTCATGTGGAGGATATCTAGTAGATGTTTATCGCTCTCTAGTGGATCTTCTCAATAGAATCTCAACTGGTGGTAGAGGTGCTTGTTCAATTGGTCCAACATCATCAATTGTAGGAGTATCATCACTGGTATTCTCACCACAATCTTCTTCTTCATCTCCTCCATGATCATCATGAACTATAGGTGAAGGAATTGGACCCAAACTCTAAGGAATATAAACAGAGGTTTCTGGCTTCTCAACATTATCACTATCATCAAACAATTGGTCTTCAAGAAATATAACATCTCTGCTTCTAATAATCTTCTTATTTACTGGATCCCATAATTTGTACCCAAACTCTTCATGACCATATCCTAAGAAGATACATGCTTTTTCCTTATTATCAAGCTTGAACCTTTTATCTTTGGGAATATGAACAAATGTTTTATACCCAAAGACTCTCAAATGATTATAAGATATATCTTTTCCTCTCCATACTCTCTCTAGAACATTACCTTTCAGAGGAAATGATGGAGAAAGATTTATCAGGTCAACTATAGTTCTCATAGTCTCCCCCCAAAATAACTTTGGTAACTTGGCATGGGAAAGCATACACCTAATCCTTTCTTCAATCGTTCTATTCATCCTTTCTACCATATCGTTCTACTGAGGAGTTTTAGGAACTGTTTTCTCAAGTCTAATACTATGGAATCTACAATA